TTCCCTCCCCCTTGTAAATCGCCTTCAATGGAAGCCATGTCAGACTGAAGGTTCTGGGAGCTTCAGTCTGACACTCAGGCTATCCCAGCTAGCATATCTCAGTTTCTCAAATCTAGGATAAATTTTCTGCACATGTGGCAACCCTGTGTGCAGCGTGTTGCATTCGCTCCTGATAGTTTCTATTTTTTTTTTACCAACTTTTACCCTTCTTTGTACTTGTTCTGCAATAATTGGGGCAATAATTCAACTGCCACAATACTCTGTGTGCACACTTTTTATGTTTATTGTTATTCTTGTCTTTATTCTAGTGATGTATATACTGTAGTAAACATTACAGCACAGCACATATTCTATATTTCTGAATGTAACACTAGTTTATACAGTGTGATGTAGCACAATGCATGTATATGTATATTTTTACACACAGACTCAGTACTATCTTAAGTGCTAGTGTTAACATTGTAGCATGATGCAGATTTTTATTTCAATATATGATATTTATTGAATGTAATACTTTATATTTAAGTGCTACTATTTCATATTCTTACTTCATATAATTCTCTATTCTTTACATCAGAGCGATTGTAATGACTCATTTCCTGTCAGGGATCAGTAAAGTATTTCTGATTCTGATTTATGATTCTGATAAGGACCTATCTTTATCTAGGATGTGGTGTTTATATGCACCGACACATAACCTGGCCTCTGCAAAGACTAGATCAAAACTGGGTTACTTGTGAATGCACTATTTGACATAGATACTGGCATGTTCCCAAACTGCTTTCGAATAGAGTCAACTTCCTCTAAAATGAAAAGCACATTTAAAAGACCATTTTATGCTTTCAAAAAAAAGTGAAGCAATCTAGTCGGGTTGCCAAAGGAAGTGAGACGATGCCAAGTATCTATGATCTCAGAAATATGTTGTAACCTGTTGCTACTGTTGGGGGTTTCATTTGCAGAGCAGCAGTCTAAATCAGAGTCGCTACTGCTCTCACGGCTCTGTCAGCCAGCAGATGTTCCATTGTTTGGCTCTGTGGTGTAAGGTTGCTTCAGTTGAAGTTGGGACACTTGCTGCATCTTTTGAATTTAGCCCCATTGAGTGCCGTCAACACCAACCCCCACCTCCTTCTTCCCCCCCAAGCTACTCAGAGAGGGGCTTTATCCCTCCCCCCAAAGTCCCCTTTAACCCCCTGCAGACCTTATAGTCGCCCCCCTCTAGATCTCCACTTTAGTGCTTGTGCTCTTTGTCTCCCCCTCGGTGAGGCCTCCAGTAATCAGCACCCCCACCACCACTCACACACACACACACACACACACACACACACACACACACACACACACACATCAAAAGCCAATTTACTGACCAATTACTGCAGTGTGAGAGTGTATGTGAAGAGTGTATTTGCATCAGTATACATTTAAATGCAAAAGTACAGATTCACACACACACACAGCTGCACAGTGTGTGTTATCAGATTGTCTCTTATCAGATGGTGAATGCATAGTGTATAGATGCCTCTGTTTGTCCTGCATGGTTACAATTCCTTCTTTTCAGCTTGCGTCTGAATGTGACTGCTGTTGTTGTCAGGGCCTGAGTGACCACCACTGTGGGGCTTATGTAATAATCAGTGTCCTGCTTTCCTCTTCTCCGCTATAGGCCTGTGTGTGTGTGTGTGTGTGTGTGTGTGTGTGAGAGAGAGACAGAGAGAGAGAGAGGCTCTGTTATAAGGCCTAGGAAACACACAGGCAGCGCAGACTTCCTGTTTTTGTGTTGAGCCCATTGGAGGCAGGAAGTGAGAGGAACCGCTGCTCTGCTCTTTTTTGCTCTCTGATGGGTGAATTTTGCCAGACGAAAAAGATGCCGGTGCTTAGTCAGCTGCCACCCACTTACAGATTTAGGGGGGTGGGGATGAATCGAGACTGTTGCCTCTCTGGAAGCCAATAACAACAAATCCAATAATGTCACTCGAGTGCGGTGTGGCTGTTGTTAATGGCCTGCAATGCCACTTCAGCAAATGACCTTCATATGGGTGCTTTACCTTGGTGGTGGATGATCGCCAGCTCTTATTTCAGCCAGACAAGGAAGAGGGCTTCATACTTGTGTGCGGTAATACCACGTGGCTGTGGGTTTTCTACATGGAAAATGAGGAAGGGTTTGAGCCAAAACTAAGTGGAACCCAGCTAGAACAAAGAATCTGGTGGTGGCAAACATGCCTGAGTGGTTGCTTTGAAGGACTGATTAAGGTTATAATAGTCATCTGCCTTGCCTGAAGCCCTCAGGCTGTGGGGGGGGGGGGGGGGGGGGGGGGGGGGGGGGGGGGGGGGGGGGGGGGGGGCTGATAAGAGGTAGGGGGGGGTAGTCCAGGCTGTTACCCTCTTTGTTCTGGCCTGCTCCACTCATGCCTGCTTTTGTCTCCACCCACAGTCTACCACTGAGAGAGCATTATCTCTCTATCCGTCTCGCGCCAAAACAGAGAGGGAGGCATGTTGCTGTTCCTTGTCCTTTCTATCTCTCTGTCCTTTTTTTCCCCCCAAGGTACATTTTGTATCTGATGTTTCCAGGGCAACCCGGTGACTGCAGGTATAGAGAAGGTGTGCCAAAGCAGCCAGTGCAGTCCCCTTCTCTTTCACTCTATTTCTGTGCCTCTTTCTCTCCAGCATTTCCCGCCACTCCAGGGTGTGCGGGGAGGGGCATGGTGTCACAGCCGGTATGAAGAAAGGCTGGCTCCTCTGAGCCTCGCGCCAAATGCCGGCGTTATTCAAATCAGCTCAGTGGGTGCGGCCCAACTGTCTCCATGTCCTGTTAACCCCCTCAGAGCTCCAGACTAGAAAGCGGAGACACAAAGGCGGAGAGCAAATGTGGGCTTAGCTCTCAGCCACATAAAGGGTAAATGTATCATTGATGTTCCACACATGCAGCAGAATGTGAAGTCTTTACTTCCCCCTATGAAACAGATTAAAAACATGTCACTAATGTGAGTTTGTTGCTGTTCCAGAGTCTATTTTTAGACATGAAATGTAGTATTTTTACATTGAGTGAAGCTTTATATTATCACATTTTTATCAACCCTTCTTTGACAAAAAAGGATGTAGTTCACCCTATAATAAACCTTAAAAATATAAGGTTTATTTTAGTAAAACCATTAGTTTTTAGATCATTAAAATACACATATACACTCAAAGTCTCTCCAGGGAGGTGTATTTGAGCCACAGAGCAACTATCCCAAAGTTAAAGTGGTTCAAGATACGCAAAAACTCAAGTTTTCAGATCAACTTCCTCTCTCACACTCACAGAGTTTCTCTTTCACGTCCTCTTTGTCTGCACAGCCCAGAGCGGTGAATAAAGCAGTAAAGCATTCAGGACCACACCGGAAGGCTGAGAGACTGATCCTCTACCACGCTCTAGTGGCTGTGAGCACGAAATGCAAGAAATAGCTGACTTTCAATACCACCTCAGTGAAGAGAGACTCTAAATAAGGAAGAAACTCAACTGCTCAAATATGCTGGATAAAAGTCCACAGGTCTCAGATTTTTAGACACACATAATTGTTTGGACGTACTAATGAGCGTGCAAGTTTGAATTCTAATCATGTCATGAAAATAGATCGCATGCATCTACAGTTCCTCTGCTTCCAGACAATGAAAGACACACAATCCTTCAGCTGTCCTCAGTCGATCGATAAAGGCTCTTTGCGGCTGGTCTCTGGAGAGCCTGGAGGAGAGTGTGTGGCCACAGCCAGACACATTATCCTGACAGTAACGTGGGCACAATTGCAAACGGCACTTTGCACTGTCAGATTCATGTGTATTGGACAGATAGGTGTAATGGGCGGCTGCTGTTTTGTAAATTGATACAATCTTGATGTTAATGCCTGGAAAGCATAGAAAGCAACACTATAAATTTACAACGAAAGGTGGTGAAAAAGATTTAACACCTTTTTAAAATGTCTGTTTGTCACTTATGGTGTTAGCCAATGTGTTTTTACATACATCAACAGGCAGTTTGCTACCTCTGTAATGCTGGCAGGTATATAGAGATGGTGGCTGTATGTGCCTATCAGGCTGTGTCTCTATTATCCTTTTGTTCCTGGAGTCCCTTCATGGATGTCTGCTCAGTATCTTTTCTCCAGAAAATGTCTGTAGTTGGCAGAGTGCCTGTTTGTTGTCATAAAAGCATGCGCTAATATCATTTATGATGTGTTTGTACTCCTCAAAGCGATACCTTTCATCTTGTGTTTCTGATTGATGCCATGTTTGGAGGGCTATATATACAGTCCAGTGTCCCCGCAGCCAATCAGATCAGTGTTCCAGCCAGCCTGACTCCCTGGCCGTTGCCTGGTAACTGGGACTGCTGCTCTGTAATTCAATCTATGGAACGATCCTGCAGGGGTTTACGCCAGGCAAGAAGAAATGATCATTTGATGCACAGGGGGAGGTAAATGACCCAGGATGGACTCCATTTCCCACACTGCTGAGCAGGAAGATGAGGCAGTGGTGTACAATTGAGAGTAGTGAACACCCAAGACAAAACTAATAATAACCATCCTCACTTTCAATGACCTGACAGCATTATGTGAGAAAACAGACATCCATCTCCACCTCTTCATCGGGAGAAGTGACGCGCAAAGGCATTACAAGCATCATGACACAGAGGTGCTCTGAAACACCCGCCTGTTATGTCCAGTAGGGTGCATCAACCAGTTGTCACATACATTAAATCACATGCTCTCCTTCAGGAGATTATACACCGAAAGGGTTAAAAAGGGGGAGGATGCAAAATGGCTTGAAGTCAGCAGTGTGTATGTGTGTGTGTGTGTGTGTGTGTGTGTGTGTGTGTGTGTGTGTGTGTGAGACAGAGAGAGGGGAACAGAAAAAGACAAGCACAGAAGGGCTGAACAAGGAATACAGTGCGTGATGCTTGAGATAAGAGGAAAACGAACAGCTCCTCCTGAGTCTCTCCATCTCTCTGCAACATCTTCTTCTCTTCCTTTTTTTTTTTTTTAAAGAAAAAGCATTTTGCTAAGTGCCTCTGCAGCTGCAGTCAAGAGAGATCTCATCTCCTGGACTGAATTCAAATGGTGAACAGTGAGTAAGGACTTTCTTGGGAACTCCTGCCAAAGGGGAAGAGACTCGATAAGAGAGCTATCAGGGGACACACTGGGACTCAGTGTGGGCCTGAGGGAGACAGGAGAGTTGTGAGTCGAAGAGGTAAGATGAGTCTAAACAACGGTCACGCTCTGACCGCAAGTGGACAGGACTTGACCAGCAGCAGCAGCCGGGCTCCCTGGGAAGATGCTAGGACGGCGTTGAAGCTCTCCACCTCCAGCAGGAAACCTAAACCAGTGAGTATCCCTACAGCCTTCCTTATGTAGCATCCATTTACAGGTGCAGTTTCCATGCTTTGGGAAAGTATCAGAGTTGTTGACAACAAAGAGCGTCTTTGCACATATTGCTTGTGAACTATGTAGTCAAATGTAATCTTGCTGTCATCACTTCGGAGCTGAATTATGTTGCACTTACTTGCTAGCTAAAGCCTGCCAAGACACACTGGTGTTCACCACTTGAGGGCTTATTTCACAATTGCCAAACACTGGCATGATAAATGACAGATGAGAGAAGACAGGCACTGCGACCTCTTAACTTTATCAAAGTCTAGCCCTGGTAAAAGCAGCAGTGGGTTAATAATATCACGTTCAAGTGCTGCATTTTGAAGCCTTAGAAAGATGGAATCATGTGGAGATGTAGTAAGGTGAAATGGGACACAGAGGCTCAGCGAGGCTCCATTATGTTAGTGGTAAACTGAGAAAACAGAGGGCTCTTGTTTTAGATCAGGTTCATGGTTCTCTGTAAAGGCTGTCGACTCTTTTGGATTTCTTACCCGGAGAGGATGCACCAAAACACAAACACAGACACAACAACTCCAACTACAAGGACTTGCTGGATGCAGGGAGTTGTCTCGGTTGTAAGTTTGGGACGTGAACTCTTTGTTTAATACTCCTTAAGTACTGTAAGTTTTCATCCTGTACAAGTTTTCTCCCCAGGTTTCAGGCTGAAATACAGTGGTGGAAAAAAGTTTTTGGACACCCCATGCATTTGTGAAATATTGCATTAAGAATCACTCTTAGGTCTTCAAGTGCAATTTCTTTTAGTACAGTCACAGCCAAAATACTAAATAAATCCTAAAAAAGCCATTAAAAACTTAAAATTGATTGGTTCCATAAAAATACATAAGAAATTTTGAGTATTGGGTCATTTTGGTACCAGTGATGAAGGTCGTTCTTTTTATTAAAAGACACAATATTTGTTGCCAAGCTTCGTGTCTACATAAAGCCAGCACATTTGAAAGTTCTTCAGACACAAAAATGGCTAAAACAAGGAACCTAACGCAGGAAACACGCCTGAAGATAAAGATTCTCAGCCAG